AGCAATTCTGAATGAAAATCCAGAGAATGCCGTCATACATTCAAAGGCCAGGAATATTGAATTAGGTCCAATCGATCACCCTGACCTGTTTGAAGTTGGTCTCACTAAAAATAACCGCCCCTTCTCAGGAGCCCATATTATGGAAAATATGCCTCTGACAGAACAACGAGTAATGAGAAGTCATCTGAGGCCGGAGTTCATGCCGGACATGTTGTTCGAAACAAAACCTAAGGTAAAATATGCTGCAAGCAGCAATGTGTAAGGGCCAAGCTATGTGATATGGTTTAAATCGAAATTATAGGAACATGAAACGCGACATTAGCAGCTCGCCATCGTGTCGCATCGTATCGCACTGTCTTTATTTCGGTTTGAAAAATTAAAGAGACTCTCATCTCATGTCAAATTAATCATTGATCAACTCGCATTTGATTGGTTAATCCACAATCTTGCAATTCCTATGAATTTGAGCTAAATGGTATTCAATTTAAGTTTAAACAAATAAACACAGGATGTCACCATTGTAATGAATATGCATCATGGAACATACAATGTATTTTTCATTGAAAATGACAATGTCATGTTACACATGAGATATTGTTATTATGCAAGTCAAATTTCTTTGCAGACAATTTTGCTAACCCGAAATCCAAAGGATGTAGCTGTGTCTTTGTTCAATTTCCATCACAATAATTCTACTTTAGCACCAGTTGAATGGGATGATTTTATTAGAGAATTTTGCAATGAAAACAGTGAGTATCCATAATCTTGCTTTGAACATCATGCTTGTTTTTGATTCATTATTTCCCGACTTGCAGAGGTAGCCGTGATGTACGATTATGCGCCCATGATGTACAGTTTTGGGAATCGCATAATAGGGAATATCTACATTGTATTTGCATTCACAAAACAAATAGGAGCACTACACTCTCTACTCGCGTAACAAACTTTTCAGACGTATTATCGCAGAAGAATTGTCATGACGTATGACGACACACCACACACGGTAACGCACGTTAAATTTAAATTAAATTTACTACTCAGTAGTAGATAGTTAGCATATAATCACGAAATATTTATTTATGGAAAGCGCGTCGTTAATATATACAAATAACTTTGTCCCAAGACACCTTGGAGTTTCTCAATATCCACAGTTCATTGATATCCTTTTATTGAAGTCAAATAACATTACAATTTGAATGACCTTTAATGCAAAGTCTTTCACAGAAGTCATTAATATTACTTGTCTGAAATTGTACATGATCGAGTTTCTAATAGTAGTAATAGTAGAAATGCGTTATGAATGTTTTGGGGGCTGTCTTATTTCTATTACTTCCTCAATGATGGATGTCAATCATTTTTAGACACCTTGGTTGAACATTTTGGATGATCCATTAAGATAACTGTGCCTGTTTAGAAATATATACAGACATCAACAACTGACGTCATGATATTGGTACAAAGTCCTATTTATATGATCATAATACTGCAGTGCCATCCATTAAATTTAAAGATGTGTGTCGTGACATGGTGCACATTTTTACTTTGATATGTCACTCTGAATTATGGTTATTTTTGGGTTCGAAATATCATGAATTTCATTGTTATGTTACGTTCTGATTTAGTTGACTGGGTATGCGTATTTAATGAGGTGCGTCTAATTTGTTGCTTTCTATGTAGCCGAGTATGGTTCTTATTTTCAATATGTAATTGACTGGGATGCTTATAGTGATGAACCCTGGGTCTTGGCTGTCCGATTCGAGGATATCAAGAAGGTATGTATGTGCAATTTTATTATACACAAACTGATAACATTGTGTTTTGTTTGTTTTTCGTTTTTTTAAACGTGCTCATTACTTCTTTTAATCGGTAAAGCTTTGTTTGGAAGCAATGTCTTATGTTCGTCTTCATCACGTTGGCTCAAAATATCCTTGTTGCTGGATACTATAAAGACAACGAAACCCCGATACTTTGAGTATTCCACCTTACGTACATAAATATGCAACAAGTGCAAGAAAATACATTTTTGCGTGGGAATTATTTAAAAAAACGGTGAATATTCAATTCAAACAATTAATAATAATGATCAACTGATTAGGATATATTACGTCACTCCAAATGTTTTGGTAATTTTTTTTTTTTTGCGCCTGGGCAAATATGTGGATCTCATTTAACGTTGAGGGATCTATCCATGTTTGTTTCACAGCTTTGTAAAACATTGCAAAAACAAATTTTGTCACAACTGATCAAATTGCTTTAATGAGTAATCCTTGTAATACTAGTATACAGCCTGGCCATTACTGAATGAATAACTGTAATTTGTACTTTACAGTCTCCACAAGAACACATCGAAAAAATTGCCGATTTCCTCGGAAAATCATTAACAAATGAACAACTGAAAGAAGTGGCTCGTGTGACTGATTTTCAGTTTATGAAATCACATTTTGGGTATCCCGAGGCTTGGCAGATGCGACAGGGAACAAGGCTTCAACGAAAAGGTAACCATGGCAATACTCCCCTATTGCATGTCGGCCAATAATGCTCAAAATATCTTTTAAGTCAAAATAAATCAAACATGTGTGTATGGCTTGACTCTATAATCAGTCACAATTCGTCGAATCGTAGAAATGACAAGATAGTTTCTGACACATAAATAATATGCGCTCTTGAGTGAATAGTGTATATGAAAACTTTAACAACTGTGCCAAAATATATATAATATTATATAACAGCCGCAGAATTAGCATATTATACCACGTACATTTCAGTATGAATTGGTCTGGTAATGAACATCATCTGTTGATGTAAATAATGACAAATTTGTTTGTTTTCGTCACAGGTACCGTTGGTGATTGGAAGAATGTATTCACGGTATCACAAAATGAAGCATTTGATAGTATATACGACAAGAAAATGGAAGGATATGAACACTTGAAATACAATTTTTTAGATGATTATTGAATTAATTGACAATATTTGTAATGCACACATAGCACATATAATAGATTGAAAGTAGAGTAATGATATATCGGATAATTATAAAATGTATCTGTTAATTTTGGTACTTTTTATTGAAGTTTGACCAGACTATAGAAAAAACAGATTCTAATAAAATCTTCTCAATCAGAATGCTTTATTGTCGGACTTTATATGTACTACATCATTACGAGATTTTTGTCATTCGTGTAGCCACATAACAAGTCGAGTTCCGGGATTATGTATCGTATAACTTCTCCAGGGAATTTCAATTTAGGGAAATTCGATTCCATTAAAATCAACGTACGCAGAAAGAGCAAAAGGGGTTGAATTACTGTAATGTTCAGAATTGGAAACTCTACGAGATGATGCGCAGGCGCACGACACATTAAGGGGGCAACCAGGTCGGTCCATGCTATATTATTATTGCATTATATTATTATTCTGAAGTCATTTTTAGGAAGTAAAATTGACCAAGCATTTGGAGAAACAAAAACTAATCGATCTGCGGCCGTTTAGATTAAAATAAAAACAGACCCTTGAACCAGCATTATGTAATTTACATAGAATTTAAACCTCTCGTAGACGTGATTTTGTTTACTTTTATATAATGGTTTTTTTTTTCTGCATGCCGGCGGATTTAATAATATCTGCTAGAAAACTTTTTTTGCAGCATAACGTCGCACTCAATCTGCAACATGCAAACACTGCAAAGTTAGTGTCGTCCAACGCTCGCTCGAACCACAAACATTCGAACAGATTAGTGTAACTATATATTAGAGAATATATAATATAGTATATCTAAATTTGTGTCATTTACAGTCGTACTAATCAGAGTTCCTGTGGCTCGAGCGGTACTCTAGTTCGAGTATAAAACATAACTCTATATTTTCGGTTAGAATTATCTGAATAGTAAGTATCCACAATTTGATTTCATTTTCTTCTATATAGTTGAAGTACAGTTCAGTCGTCGCGTGGAACCGGGAACAGCCACTGGTGGCGCTGCATATAATCTAAACCTATTTAGGCTTGTCAACGCTCACGCCGGCGAACAGTATAAAAAGCGCAGACACTTGTTAAATTTGGTGACCAATTTAGTATGATAGAAAGCGTGTACATTCTCCAAATAATCACATCACAATAGAATACGGGTCAAGACTGAATATACGCGATTCCGGCGTTTCATATTGCATGCTTTCTATTAATAATTGCACGTTAATAATATTCATGCGATATGCTATGTCATAACCTCGTTAAATTTATTAGCGTATTATTGTAAGCAGTGCGCATGCTTCGGACCCTTTTCCGTATTCCACAACGCATGTGTCATCACAGTGAGGTTAATGGCAGTCTACGTTTAATGCAACGTAAAGTTCACCACTGTGCATGAGGTTTGTCAATTATATCTCATTGATGGCGCTGAACGTTGTGTTCATATTCGAATCCCACACATAAATGACGTTACCAGATATATATACACAATCTAACAAGCCACACCACCCAGCGACTGCTGAGATTGCAAAGAATTTGTATACACACCCATCCACCATGTCATATAGTGTAATATGCAATTACAATTCTGGTTCCCCAATAACTCTGGTTTCTTGAATGTTACTAATATTTGCTATTCCATGTACGGATCTGAATAAAAACGCCATGGTTTATAACGAATGTAGTCACAGTTAGCATTGGTCACTAGGGGTAAAGTTGAACTCAAAACATCACTCTCGGAAAAAGCTAAAAAACATTCGTGAAAATTTTTGTTTCAATACCTTCAAGGATAGACGCGGCCTTTTAACTCGAAGGGTGTCTATTGTTTACAAATCTAAGTTAATTTATCAGGGACCTAAGTGCATATTCTTCCGTTTATTTCCATCTACCAAACCACAATATTAACATTTTATGGTGTCAGGGGATGGAACATGACATATTTGCAAAGCGGTAATTGAATTGACTTACTGGAGATCAGATATCGATAAAGGCTGTCCACATTATTCAGAAATACGTTTCAGGTGATATAGGTTTGTTGCCTATTGTACCGAGTACGAATATTAACCGGTGTTTCTCACTGTGGTGAGGTTTCATTTTCCACGTCTTGTGAGATCTCGCGTGATTACAAGACTTAGAGTCGCGTGACAAGTGTTGACCAATCGTCACATCATAACTATGACGTGATATATAGATAATTTTCTATTCACCGTGGGATCCCAATATATTATTAAAACTCATTCAAATTAAGAATCAAGATCGTGGACTACATAAATTGATGAAAAGTTGAATATCTAGAGAATGAAAAGTGATATAAAAAACTATATGTCTTACATTTGCCGATCGCTTTCATCTGAGAGTATTATGTTGTTAGTCTTGACTTTTCATTTAAATTCGGAATGCAGTGCACGTCATAACTGGGTGGTCGTACAACTGTGCCGACCCTATTGCGACAATATTTATATGCCAGAGCCTCCTATTTCATTGATTGATTTAAAATTTGTTTTCGCCATGAAGATAGGCGTATTACGCATTACTTTTCTGTTGTTTGGTCTGGTCCCCCTTTTTTGTTTTTCCTTCCTCGTTGCTTTTGTCGCCTGCTTTTTCGCTCTCTCGTTTTTTTTTTTGTTTTTTTATTTATGATCTGGTATACTGTAAACCAATTAAGGCATTGAATATAGTTTGCCATG